GTGTGTGTTTGTGTTGAAAAGGTTTTCTCAGCTTCTGTGTGCCAAGAAAAGGAAAATATTATAAGCCTTTTGGAAAATAATTTTAATTCTGCGTGCACTCCAGTGATTCACGCTAGAACAATTTAGGAAAGAAAATATTCAGGCCATTCATGTCAAACATCTTCCTACTGGAGAAGAAATGGGGATTCTGTCTATGCTACAACATGGAAAAGGTTGGGACAATTTTCAGATTTGGTGATGCATGGCAAGGTCGATAGCTGATGTCAATTGATATAGTTCTGTGGGTCACCGGAGTTAGGCTGATTTATACCGTCTAACCCTCTGAGTCTATGGGTTCCTTGGTTTGAATTTGTTAAACTGTCAATTTGTCAGATCTACTTGTTCATAAATCCTAATCCTTTGGTGCTTTATTCTGATCTCATGCTGAAGGGTGTGAAATATCAAGCCACATGCTTTTGCACTTGATATTTTTCTGGATTTCTTTCGTGTCCCTGTAAATCCAGTCATTAGCATCTCTTTTGCAAAGATCTTTCTATCAGCCATTTTAATCAGCCAGACACAATAATTATAGACACATCCAAGAACAATTAACAAAGGCTTTCTAAAGAATTTCTGCTTGGTGTCTGCAGAGCCTGGGTAATCAACTGTCAGGTAACAGCTGGTTTAAAAAAGCTCACTTGTGTTTTCTGTGTCTTTTGAGCTGGGCAGGATTGAATGTGGGTCTTCCGAGCACCCTCTGTGCAGTGGTAAAATGTATGTAATTATTTAAAAAGAAAACTGAAAGGAGTAAAGACTGCAGGTACTCTAGGCTCTACATGTTTTCCTGTACCATCATGTTCTTGGTTTTGGCTTTGTCTCTCAATTCAGCTAACTTTGCGGTTGTCACTTCTTACTCAGCTTCAGAACTATGATGGGGTCACAAAAAATCCAAATGAGCTGTTTTCTGCCTACGCCACCTATTTACAATGATGACAGTATAGTTTTTGCTGCAGTTGATGACCAGCTGCTTGGCAGACTGGTGGTCTGCCTGACTGACTTTAGTTTCTGTTCAAATCATTGGGATAAATCCTTGCGACTTGTAAGTGTAGCATCGAGGTCTTCTCCTCTTGTTTTTATGACAGCATTTTCTGTCACCTTGTTTTCTAACTTCTGAATTTCTTCCCAAATGAGGCAGAGTTACCAAGTACTTAGGATACCCTTCCAAAACTACTATGAGTGTATGCAGGTAGTGATATCTTTCACTTTCTGTCAGAGTTAAACTTTTTTTCCTAGATTAGACCTAGTTATTTTAAGGAAATATAAGATCAAAAGTGGCAGCTGAAGTTTTTGCCCTTTTAATTTAGCTACCAATGGAGGTGTTTTGTTTTAAAATGATCTACTGTGGATTTACGTTTGCATCATGAAAAAACTGAAAACAATCTCTAATACTTGCGGTCAGCTTTCATGTTGGAAAGAAACCACTGGGGAAGAGAGCTTGGCATTTGGCACAAATTCCCATTCCTCATGGGTTACAAAGACACAGAATTCACTAAATTGAAGGACATTTGTTTAATTCCTAATCCAGGGGTGAACTCCAGACACTTTGGCAGTTAAAGAGTAAGCTCACATTAATTTGTAGCAAATTCTAATTCTTGACCAGGAGGACAAAAGCGGAAGAGTTTCCAGAAAAAAAAATCTTTTTGGTTGGTTTTAGAATGATTTAGGGGGAATTATTAGCTTGATTCTGAGAAATTATGCACATATTAATTCAGAGCCTTGAAACCACAAATTGTTTGACTGTCTATATAATGACAAGCAGGCTATGTTGCTGTGCCTCCTAGCAAAAGGAGAGTTCAGGCTGAGTGGCAACATCAAATGAGAGTTTTCTGATTTGTATCCCATTCTCCGAGTCTTGGCCATATCTTTCCTATTAATACAGGGTTCATCTTGGGAAAACCCTTGATTTTGGTATCTGTAAGGGATCGTCTGCATGGCTACCCCAGTGCTCTTGGGGGAATGGGGGAAGGGGATTTTTAAGCACATCTGACCCACCTGCACCTGCTCAACACATGCCAAACATGGAAATTAAATATGAAAACTGCCCTGGGTGGTGTCACTTGCCTTGCTTGAGGTCTCTGGCTCCTCTGGGGGGGAGAGGTTGGTGGCCTGAGGCACCCTCACTGCTGCTGTACCATTTCATTTCCGGATTTAGTGCACGTGGAGCAGGAGTGAGTGAGAGGGGCCGTCTTGAGCACAGTGCCCCTACGAGCACAGGTGAAGGTTTGTAGGCAGAGGGTCGGTGTCTTTGAGGCTGGTAGAAAGAAGGAGAAATGCACCCTCTCCTGCTGCAGCCACCTCCTGGCCTGGCCCTGCATATACCTCTTGGAAACAGAGGCCGTTCCACCTGGCTGCTGGACATGCACTGTGACACTCTTGAACGGGACTTGCACCACCTCAGTTGAGAACCACCAGCTTTAATGGTTCTGAATAGTACATAGGAAACATATACCTTTTCTTTGCATATAAAGGGAATAGAATTAATTTCACGTTGTGTTGTAATGTTTAAATGCCTTGGCTGATCTCTCAGTAGCAGCCAAGGTCTCTATATTTTTCATTCTCAGTTTTACGTGATGAGCTCTAGAGAATGTTTCTGGTTCATTTTAAGCTTGGTACGTGCCAGTTTATAGTTGTGATCTGTCAGGCTGTGAAAAGTTGCATCTGTTTGCTTACTACTAATGATATCCACCAAAAATGGCTCAGGAATTGAAGAATTGCTTTCTTTAGCTTTTTCTTTTCTGCTCCTCATGGCAGGCTGATGAGTTCTGAAAATACGCTTTTACAAGCAAGGGAAGAGGAGGGAGTCAAGTATGAACGGACCTTCGTGGCATCTGAGTTTATTGACTGGCTGATTCAAGAAGGAGAGGTCACAACAAGGACTGACGCAGAACAACTTGGTCGTAGGCTGTTGGAGCATGGAATTATACAGCATGGTGAGGAATTTACTGTGAGTTAGCAAAAGTGTGCTCTTAACGGCACTTTCTCAGTACTAGATCATGTTAACAGGTTACAAATTATACAAATTGGCCGTAAGACATTTCTTGTTCTTAATCATTTCTAAATGATACAAAACTGCATAATTTTTACTTCCTAATGAAAGGGTGGGATGTCCCAGAGTATGCAATGATAGCTCTTGAAAACTGTATCCAAAATATGTGCGTGGGTGAGGACCTAGAGTTTTGGGTTTGAGTTGCTAGCAACAAATACAACATGAATGAACGATAATGCTTTTCTATACATAATAGATGACTAAATGCTGGAACTCATTTCCAGAGGATAAAATTGAGGACTAGAGCCATAAATATGGTGGGTTATGTTAAATCACATGGTAGAACAATATTGCACAGTTGGCCTGGTATGTTTGGATAAAGATGGGGCTATCACTTCCAACGGAAGCATTGTTATATTTTGCCTTCCACTGGAAGCTCTCTGAGGCAGAGATTTAATATCTGCTCAGTGCAGTGGGGCTCATAGGTGTAGTTGGCATGGAGAAGCTCAGCAATAATGTTGAAGTTTGTGTAGCTTTCTTGGAGAGCTGGCCTAAGACTGTGGAATAAACTGTCCCAGGAACAAAAGATCATCACAGACCGTTTGTGATAAGGGCAAGATGCATTTCTTTTTCCTTGCTTTCTCTAGCATAAGTGTATGTGTGTATGTGTTTAGAGAGTAAGGCAAGTGTTAGTGATACATTTTGGAAGGCATTTAGATACTAATTAGGGCAATGAGCTCTGTATAGTATACATAGCAATACAAATGATAAAAGCAACAAGCAGGCTTGCAGGGATCATTCTTCTTTTTTGTGCCAATATTTATGTTCATAAGGAAAAAACATTTCAGAAGACATGATGTTGTAAATGCCCTGGACAATTTATTTGTGATTTTTAATCATGTTGTTTCATCTTTATTTGTAATTACCACTAGCTACTACTTAATGTTGACAAGAGGCAGGTTCATATTTTATAATTATTCTCAGTACTAACTTATGATTTATATGGTGCTAACTGTCAGGTCTTGATGCAAAGTGAAAATGCTCCTCACCCCTGCAGCAGTCATGATTTCAGTCTTATTTTTATTCAAGCATTTTCTGAATGTGTGTGTACAGAGCAGAAGGATGCCGACAGCACAATCTAGACCTGAATTAGGGGAAAATCTGTTGATTAATTTTTTAAACCTATGAAACCATTAAATGGCACCTCACATTGGTTACTGAATGGTAGTGGCCTCTGATTGAAAATTGTTTACTGAATGATGGTGGCCTTCTCATTAAATTAGTGCTGAATTCATTTATTAGATTTATATCCCACCCTATCCAAAAGGCTCATAGCAGCGTATAATAAACAAGCAAAATCCACAGATAAGATTCCACGAAAAACACCCCAAACCTGGGACCTTCATTCCCTTCTTTCCCCAACTACCATGTCCCTGCCTAAATATCCATATCAGCAAACTGGCTAATCTCCACCATGCTTCCCAACTACTGTTTACATCCAGTCATCAGACCTCTTCCTAATTTCACCCCCTACTTTCTGCTCATCTATTCCCACTCCCCAGCCTCACACCAGGGGAGAATTGTACCCTGTTTGAGTGAAATGGTGAACTCCCTATTCAGTTATTACCTTTGGCAAAGATGAATTCCCATTAACTTCTTGCAGTGTTTTCTTGAATAAGACTGGAATAAAATTGGAGTGAGGGCATTTGGCCTTAGCCTTATAGTTGAAGATTCTTTGTGTATCCTTCTAAAACAGGTGGCTATTTGGAAAGAGTGAAGTCTGCTACAGGTTTCTCTGAAGCTGTTTTCTAGATTAGGTTAGGCAGAAGGTAGTGTAAAGTTGCATCTTATAGATGAATTAAATCAGAGATGCATAAGCTGTTGTAAACAACTGCTCACTTGGTCATCAGCTGAGGAAGTGAGCTGTTGTTTGCAAAAGCTTATGCATCTCTGAATTATTTAGCCTATAAGGTGCAACTTTACTTTGCCTTCTGCCAAATTTCAGACTAACATAACCAGCTTCCTTTCCCTAGATATGGTTAGGAGTTCTGGGTGAAAGCAGAACTGACATTAACATCCAATGATCATTAATTTAGCTGTAGCAAGTGGATATTATGCATAGATCTGGTAGATCTTTGCAGTTTATTTTCCCTCGAATAACAGTTAGACTGGTGAGTTCCTCCTTAGAAATTTTAGATTTAAACTGGAAAAATGGCCATGTGGCATTTTGTTCTTTTTCACTGAATTCTAAGGAAAATGCACTCTGATGACCAAACAAAAAATGTTTCCCCCCCCCAAGGCCTAGCATAGCAAATAAACTCTAGACTCTAGAATGTGAATAGCAGACTGTGTTCCCTTTGTTTTTTATGTCATAATTTTCAGTGAAGTTTCATTTGACATTCAGCTGACATCCTTGTTGACAGTGCTTGCAGAAAGGCCTCTTGCCTGCTTAAGAAAAGAGAATGAAATTGTTTAATTGTTTCATTGGTGATCTTTTGCTAGCAATATTGTTGAATGTGCATGAGGTAGGAAAAAATATAGCTTCCTCTTCTATACTTATTATTTTGTTTCAGTTCTTCAGGGCTGAGAGTATTAGGATTACATTTCAGCAATCCAAAATTATTAATGGTAATTGTCTGACTACAAACCAGTAGTGCCAGTTATTGACTGAGATGGGTTTTCATTTCAATTACTTCAAAAAAGTTAAATGTTTTGCAATTGAGGCATTAGTGGCCCTGTCTGTATTCTACGTGCAGGTTCCTCTTATGTTTATCTTAATTTAAATCAGTCAGCCTCAAATCCAGGTTTCACTTGGGAAAGCTACAGTAGGCTGATTTTAGAAAGGAAAGTCAGAAGAATTGTGACAATGCTGTAGAAAGGCGAAACAAGGTTCAGCTTCAGAAATGTTGCCCTACAGTTACGTTTGTGCAACATTTTCAAAAGAACCTTATTCTGGTCTCTCTTTGTACAGTCACAGTTTTACATGTCCTATCAATCCCACATGAAAATGACAGGAATTGCAAATGCCCTATTCATCTGAACTGGATCTGTGCATGGAAATGGGAGTGCCATGTGAAAAACTGGCTGTTTGTGAATGCAAACAATTTTATGGAAGACAAGATTCTTCAGGTAAATCTGATATCTTTTATTAGACCAATTAAAATAGTTGGAAAAATTCTTCGGGCTGGGACATATGCCAGTTGGGTGTAGTTGGAATACAGCCACACCTAACCCTATCCATACCTCTGTCAACCCAGGGCTGTGGAATTACCAGCAGAGCTATAACAAGGGGAAGTACCCACCATGCCATCTGAGACATCATGCTTTTCCAACTTTAAGGGTGTCGTTAAGACTATTTGTAGCACTCACCACTTGGCTGTACTGCCTATTCTATTACCAAGGTGCAAAAATGTTGGACCCAACTGTTAATTCCTCCTTCTGGGATGTTGACAATATTCCTGGACATAGGCATCATTTTGCTGGTCATACAGCACGGGGGAGGGAAGGGTTTAGCTTTTAGTTTGCTAGATTCAGGGTCAGCATAGCTGTAGTTTGTTCAGTGGCTCTAAGGAAAATTATTGCTGCATGACTATGTGAGGAGAATTAATGTGGCAGTTGTTGTACAGAGAGTTACATTAGTGTGCCTTTCTCTCACCCAGAACCCTCTGGACACAGAGCTTGCAAGGATACAGGTGAGGTTTAAGAGCTGCAATCTCAAGCTATAAGCACTTTCCATTTTAGATCTGGTTCATATTAGTAAGAGTAAAGTCCACTCTCAAGAGTCCAACAGTATTTGCATATACTCTGTGGCAGCAGCATAAATCATTTTGCTGTGTTTTAAAATTCTTCCCAAATTTAGAGACAGTATTTTTTCTTCATTTTTTCCCCTTTGTTGTAGTAATTATAGCTTGTGCTTGCATTCAGTTCTAGCATGCAGGAGTTCCCTGTGTAAAAAGCAATATTTCTTTCTTTTGTCTCTGTGCTACCTCTCTCCAGCTAGGAACAGATGGTGCATTTGTCCCAGGATAAATTGTACCTCCATTTGTCCTGGAATGGAAAAGTCTCAGGATCAGGGTTTAATGAGCAGCTGAAAGCACTGATGCTCTTCTCCCGTTGATTCAATGATGCAATCCTGGGAAAACCATTGAAACCACTCTGTGATGCCCCAGGACAACCTGTTAGTATTTCTTATCCCATGAATGTTTTTATGGGTTGTCCTAGGGCAAAAGACATGAACATCTGAACTACTGCACTTTGTCCTAGAATAAAATAGTTTCTCCCAGGACAAATGTCAGATCTGTTTGTACCCTCTCTGTCTTTCTGTATTGCATCTTCCTTGACTGCTGCTTACTTTAGAGAGGTAGTTAACTGGCTTAGTCTGAAGTCAAGCAGAAGGCAGGGTAGAGATGCACCTTATAAACTGACTGAATCAGAGGTGCATAGTATAAGCTTTTGAAAGCAGGGGTCTTACTCATTTAGATGCTGTGAAGAGACTGCAGGAATCAGAGCTGCTAGATAGAAAGTGGCCATGTCTACATATTGCTGTACGGCAATGTTGGTACTGCGCCGTGTTTTAGTACTTGCTTGGGAGAAGTACTAAAACCTGGAGCAGTAGCTGCCGTACTGCAGCGTACGAGTGGTACATGGTTATATTCACTAACTATGTCACCGTAGCGACTCTCAGTAGCCGGGGAACACGCTACTATGGCAATGTAGCCAGCAATGACATGTAGACCCACATGATTGCTATGGTGCTGTAGCACCATACAGCAATGGAGTGCGTTGCTATGTTGCCATAGGGCAATGTGTAGATGTGCCCAATAATGATCAGAACACAAAGGGCCTATGCCTTGTATCACTGCTTTCTATGTGTCAGTGTGGGAGAGGGGCACTGCTGGGAGAGGGAAGGTGGATAAGAGAGAGAAAAACAAAGTAGTTAGAGGG